ATTTAGAATCACTCTAATTTTTTCAATCATAAGTAGTTTGGACTTCAAAAGAATATCAACCAGCTTTTCTCTACTTGACTCCAAGTAACCATAACATGAAGCTAGAGGGGAAGAACTAAAATGAATCGAGAAGTGAAGAATTAAAACTTGCCACCATGAGGATTTTCAAAAGAATGCACCACAAGCTCTGACAGCAATTCTTTATTTTATTGATTTTTTTTTTTTTTTTTTTTTTTTTTTTTTTACAGAGAGGAAGGGAGAAGGATAGAGAGAGTTAGAAACATCAATGAGAAATCAACATTGACCAGCTGCCTCCTGCACACTCCCACTGGGGATGTGCCCGCAACCAATGTACATGCCCTTGACCAGAATCAAACCTGGGACCTTTCAGTCCGCAGGCCAACGCTCTATTCACTGAGCCAAACTGGTTAGGCCTCTGACAGCAATTCTTAAAGATGAATTCCAACAAAAGATGAGTACAGCCCACCAAAAAGAAAAACATTCCAGTTTTTAGGAGGTGGAGCACTTAGCTAATGCCCAGTTTGGGTTATTTAAAAATCCACATACCTGCTTTCCTTCATACTCTGAGCATCAGGTATGACAAATGCTCAGATGTAATTTCTGACAGAGGTATATCCTATGAATTCATGACTGTGCTACAAATACCGGAAGTGGCCCACTTTCCCAACCCCTCCCCCCCCCAAAAAAAAGCAGGAGGAATTTGCCAGTTTTTTGGTGCTCTAGTCTAGCTGCCAGTTTCTGAGATTGTGAAGTACGTCCTCTTTTCTTTCCTTAAATATATTTTTACTGATTTCCGAGAGGAATGGAGAGGGAGAGAGATAAAAACATCAATGATGAGAGTCATTGATCGGTAGGGTCGCAACAGGGAATGCAAACCAGGAATGTGCCCTGACCAGAAATCGAACCATGACCCCCTGGTTCCCAGGCTGAAGTTCAACCACTGAGCCACTCGGCTGGGCTGAAATACAATCTCTATCCAGTATCTTACCCTTTTCCTTTTCAATCCCCCCACCTCTTCCTTCCCTACCCCGAACGAGGACTCACTTCCACTCCCAGGACTAGGCCCTCCTAGCCCTCCACCTTCCAGCTGGACCCCTCGCGGTGCGTAGGCCTGCAGGGCTCCGCGATGAAACAGATAAGAGAAAGGGAGGATGTGGCTGTGTTTGTTGTATTTGTGCTCAGAGAAGTGTTCAAACAAGAAAAGGGAGGATCCCTTCCTGTAAGTGTTATTTTATCTTAAATATCTTTCCAGTTGTCATCTTTGGGCTGTTCTCAGACACTGAAAGACTGCATTCCTTCCAACAGGCCACAGACGTTATGGGATTTATTATTCATTCATTTATTTATTTTTAAGTTTTTTTAAGAGATGTATCTTTCTATCTTATTTATTTATTTTTTATTGATTTCAGAGAGGAAGTGAGAGGGAAAGAGAAACATCAACGATGAGAGAGAATCACTGATCAGCTGCCTCCTGCACACCCCGCACTGGGGATCAAGCCCGCAACCTGGGCATGTGCCCCTGACCAGAATTGAACCCAGAACCCTTCAGGCCACAGGCCGATGCTCTATCCACTGAGCCAAACCAGCCAGGGTGACATGTGGGATTTATATCCTTCATTCCTTCGCACATAAGACTAACTGCACAAGGTAAATCACAGGCTGCTCTTCTAGCCAGCCAATCCTGTCTGCTGTTCACAGTACATGCAGCTTCCTCTTTCCTTAGAGGGCAGCCTGTACGTAAACCCATCAGGGGCTCATGGGCATACTGTGTTGTTGGTGTTTTTAAGTGATTTCCTTACCAGGGTCAAAACTCATTGAAAGCTAATACAGTTCCCTGCTCACCTCTGTACGCCTAGCACAGGGTAGGCACAAAATAAATGTCTGGATCCAATATGCAAATGATAGATGTGAAAAAGAATTCAGAAAGAGAATCAACCAGACTGTGTGGAATTGTGGCATACAGCTGTTTTGTAGCCTTCCCTCAGAGAAAAAATTAAGAGTTAATAGGTTGTGCAATCAATAACAGTACAGATACTGAATCATTTGATGGTAACAAATGTCATAATTACATGGCAGCTTAGGATAATGGCACTTATTACATGAGCAAATTCAGACAACACACTTAACCTCCTGTGTCTGTTTTCCCCTCTGTTAAATAAAAAGAAGGGAGGGTGGACGAGAGGCGAGTGTATCTATTCTATCTAGCCACAAAACCGTAGTGAAGCTCAAATGACATGCTATATAAAATGCATTATCAGACAGACAACTAATTCTCATCATTTGCGCTCCTTTATGTGCGTACACTTGACTAAAACAAATCAATAAACTTCAGACAAAAGAGCCTATTGTCAAACATACAATAAATGCAATAATATATGTAGATCATGAAAATTTTTCAGCCATAAAAATTCTCTGTAGAAACCTCCTACCCTATTCAATGTATCTGTTAGAAAAGCTCATGGTGACGTGTAAGCTCAATTTTAGATGATCCTCCGGAGAGTTTCAGGCTATTCTTTTTGGTGCAGAAGCAGGCGGCTTCACCACCAAGTTCACGCTGACCTGCTGCAAGCACCAGCCTCAGCACCGGGCTCTGCGGCAAACAGCCCGGGAGGCACAGCTGCACTCAGCACAGCCTGGCGGGTCCCCGGCCGAGGCCTCCACGGAACACACAGGCCAACACAGAGGCGGCTCCGAGCAGCACACAGCTCAGACCAGCCCTAGAATCAGGTCCAGGATGGCCTGGGCCTACAAAGAAGCAATAATAAAATCAAGGAATGAGTGCACCGAGGCCAGCAACACATGAACAGCACATAAGCGCCTTCTCTTTTTAGAAGAAACGTGTACTTTTGCCAGAGCAGGAACTGTAGAGAAATGTAAAACAAGCACGGTCCCAAATATGCGACAGACATCACAAAACACCATGTTATAGATGAGGGGGCTGCTGGGTTGTTTCCACTTCGCTTGAATTCCTAAAAATATCCCCCTACTTCTCCAGCAACCGTGCTCTGTACTTTTAAGCAAGAGCGAAACAGATGGCCAAGATGCTGACACTGCAGGCCCAAGGTTTTTCAACTGTGCTTTCCCAGTTAGCCATCGCTAAGAGTGATGAAATACAGGATAATGTACCATGAATCTCTAAGAGACCCACTGAAACTGCATTGGAAAAGCCAAACAATCCTGCAATGGAAAAGCCAAACCAGGTTTATGTCCCTAAAAATGCCTAAGCCTTGGAATTCAGTCCGCAGGAGTCTCGCACCTCTCTGGAGGGAGAGGTGAGCTCATCACTGTGAGTCCTAGAAACCGGTCCTCAGAATCCTCTGGGAAACGCCGGGGGAGTCAACAAGAATCAGACGCAAGCAGAAATACCGAGAACGAGGAGCTTCCAGGATTTCCCTCTACGTGTAAAAGCAATCAACTCCTATTTTTAATCTTGCTCTGATGCAAACATCCAGCCAACCCTCTCTCTCTTTCTGGCTAACCAAAGATAGCTGATTTGTTACTGTACAGTAACTGTTTCAAAAGTCAGAACTGAATGGCGGTCGTCACAGGTCTAAAGACAATGCTCCGTTTGAGGAGGAGAAGAACGCTGAGGGGCAGAACGGATGGCAATGCCCTGGACACAGAAACAAACTCCGGTCTTTGGAGGTCGTCCTGTTCGTCCCTCATCACCGATTTTGGGGACTGGCCGGAGAATCACTCACTTACCAGCCGGTTCACTGAAGATGATGTTGGTCATTAAGTGCAAATGAAAACAGCACCTCCCTATACACTGGGAAAACCCTAGCAGGGTTATTAGTAATAATAATTTCCTCCCGTGTCAAACTGGATGTAGAACACTCAAATCCACTTCTGGTTTTTCACCGAGAAAGGATGCAGGACGCAAAGGGGGCAGCGGTGGAGGAGATAACGTCTCCATTAAGTAAACAAAGTCCAAACTCTCCTGGAGAACTTCCCTCACATTCTTCTTTCCCAATCCAGTGCTTAACCCCACTCGAGCGGCGCTGGAGGAGAGGGCCGCTGGCAAGGGACTCGGTTAAGCACAGGCAACCCTGGGGACACACCGCCGCGTTCCTGACATCCAGCTGGACAAAATGCTGCTTTTGTCTGGGAGGCAGCCTGCGACAGAAACAGGAACTTTACTGAGGACGGATCACATGCCCACGACCCAGCAACGCTGCTTTCTCTCATTGTTGTCCAAGGGACGCGTCTCCTCACAGCAGCGGCTGGGTCTGTCCCCTTCTTTTAACATTTTCCACACACACCCGGCTCTCCCGGTACCATCCATTGTCAAAAGCAAGAGGGTGCCAGCCGGCCGGGAGATCTGCCTGCGAACCTCGCCCTCCTCCGCCTTCAAAAGACCCCAAAAGGTGCCGGGAGGGACCCGGTGACAAAGGTGCGGTGGCAGCAGCACCGCGTCCGTCCATCTGTCCGTCCGTCCGTCTGTGGGTGGGAGCCGCTGCCTCTCACCTCCCGGGCCTCTCCGCGGCCCCCCTGCCTCTCCCTCTCCTGTCACCGGGGAGGCACCCCGCATTGTTAGAGGAGGAAGGAGCGGGCTGCGGATTCCCCATGTGTCTTTTTTTAATTTGATTTCATTTTTTGAAGAGGGACTGCCCCCGGCGTGGGGCCTCTCCTCGAGGCGGGTCGGGGGCCGGAGAAAGCTGTCAGCCGCCCCCACGCGCCCACCGCCGGGCCGGGCGGGGGGGCAGCTTTGTCTCGGGGTTGGGGCGGGGGAGCAGGAGGGACCTCTTCCCTGGAGCCCCCGCCGGACCCCGACGCGGACGGAGCACACAATGAGCGGCGCGGCCAGCCCGCCTCAGCGGGTCGGGGAGAAGGGAAGCCGACCGCCCGACCCTTCGCAGCCCGGCCAGGTTTCCGGCATCCTCCTCCTCCTCCCGGCTCGCCCGCGCGGCCAGCAGGGCGCGCGCCGGGGACCGGGCTCCCGCTCCCCGCGGCGCCGCGCCGCGCCCCGCCCGGCTCACCCTCCGAGAGCTCCAGCTCCAGCTCCGCCAGCTGCGCCCGCACTTCGGGGGGCAGAGCCGCCAGCGCGGCCGGCGCGGGCTCCGCGCCTCGCTCCGCCATCCCGGCTCCGCCAGCCGCACTCCGGAAGACGCGCGAGGGGGCTGAGGGAGGGACGGACTGACGCGGGCCCACACCCCGGCTACAGGATCCGGCTCCGGCCGCCGCGCGCTGCCAGCTCCGCCGCCGCCGCCGCCGCCATGAGCGAGGGTCACGTGCGCGCGCCGGCCCCGCCTCCCGGCGGAGGACGCCCCGCCCCCGCGGCCAAGTCCAGCTCGGGGCCCGCGGGTTTACTGCGCCCCCTGCTGGGGAACGCCTGAAAAGACGAGCCCCAGCTCGCTACCCCAAGTTCTCCAGCACGAAATGGGCTTTAAGGTGTTGATGGCTTGAGAACTCACATGCAAGGAGGCTTTAGGGGCTCCTGGCCATACTTCTCCAGCTCCCTTCACTAGGTAATGTACGCCTTTGTCTTGTCCCTTCCTCTATTTTTACCTTGATTGGAACTTACCCATTTGTAGGGATCTGAACACAAGCCACTACTTTTTTAAAATATATATTATATATATTATTGATTTTTTACAGAGAGGGAGAGGGATAGAGTTAGAAACATCGATGAGAGAGAAACATTGATCAGCTGCCTCCTGCACACCCACTACTGGGGATGTGCCACAACCAAGGTACATGCCCTTGACCGGAATCAAACTGGGACCTTTCTGTCCGTAGGCCGATGTTCTATCCACCGGTAGAGCCAAACCGGTTTCAGCACAAGCCACTACTTTTATTGGGGTTTGCCAGGCCCATTTGCTAGGAGCTCTTTTGATTCTGTTTCATTTCTGGCATTTATCACAATGGACAATCCAGTTACACTTCTGCCTAAATTTCTAAGTACATGAAAGAGGGGAACTTAGTCTTTTTTTTTTTATCCTTCTAAGTGTATAGCTTAATAGGTTTTTCCCACAATTAATATTTTAACTCAATATAAGGAAGATCCAAAACATTTATGGGCTTTTACCAGGAATTACTGGGGAAATACTTAAAATGTCTTTTATATTCTTTCTTTAGTAGTATTAACTTTTTTTTATTATTACTGCCAAAGCTCTCCTTCACAATTTGGGAGATTCTAGTGTTTTCACTTCCCTTCTATGCTAATCCAAAAGTTATTTAAAAGAACAGGCCCCAACATTTGCCTACTATGAGTTTCTAGTCAGGATACCGTTCGTAGGCTGGAAGAAAATTTAAGTTGAGAAAAGAATTTCAGCCTGGTTGGTGTGACTCAATGGTTAAGTGTCAACCTATGAAGTCATGTTTTTCTGGTATGGGTTGCAGGCTCTATTCCCAGTAGGGGGCGTGCAGGAGGCAATTGATCAATGATTCTCATCAGATATTTCTTCCTTCCTCTCTGAAATCAATATATATACATGTGTATATAAATGTATATTTTAAATATATTTTATTGATTTTTTGTTTTAGAGAGGGAGAGGGATAGAAAGTTAGAAACATCGATGAGAGAAGCATGGATCAGCTGCCTCCTGCACAACCCCTACTGAGGATGTGCCTGCCCTTGACCAGAAATGAAACTGGGACCCTTCAGTTCACAGGCTGACACTCTATCCAGGGAGCCAAACAGCGGCTGGTGAGCCACATGCGACTCTTTGGCCCTTGAGTGTGGCTCTTCCACAAAATACCACGGCCTGGGGAGGTCTATTTTGAAGTGCTATTAGAAGTTTAAGTTTTAAAAAATTGGCTCTCAAAAGAAATTTCAATCATTGTACTGTTGATATTTGGCTCTGTTGACTGAGTTTGCCGACCACTCGGCTAGGACAATAAAAAAAAATATTTTTTAAAAATAAAAAAAGTGAGGTCCATGCTCCTTCCGCAGAATTTGAATGGGCTTGTATTTTGATCAATAGAACATGAGTGATGTATTGACTTCTGAGGTTGTCTGGAAGTCCATGCAGCTTCCCCGGGTCCTCTGAAATGCCCCCCTCCCGAGAACCCTCTCGGGACCCTCCTCCCCGAACACTGAGAACCTAGCCACCGTCCGTGCAGGGGAGCTGCCACGCCGTGGCGCTGGCTCAGCCCTGCCTTTGAGCCATCGTAGCCTGGGGTGAAGAGGCCACTAGGCGATGCCAGCTGCTGGCCCTTTCAGTCTTCCTGCGCCGAGGTCCAAAACGGTGTGGAACTAAGACAACCTATGCCTGTTGTGCTGTGTAGAAGCCTGTGAATGTGAAATGGTCATCTTTTTATGCCACATTTGAGGTGCTTGTTACACAGAAACAGATTACCGCAAGGGCCTTGGCAGGTGTTCTTGTTTATTCTAACGGCCCTTCACCCTTTTCCTTGTCAATACACACCAACCCTGACTGAAGGTGCACCTGCCAACTGCTTGCTTTCCTACCCTCTTTGGCAGGCGTGTGATCACTAAAGGAATAGGAAAGGGGAGCGTTCGGGAGGATTTTCCTCCCTAGTGAGACAGTTAAGGCTACCAATTTGGTTATTAGTCCATTAAAAATACTGTCCCTAACATGATAAAGAAATTGTTATTCATAGCCCTCTCTTGGCCAAATACATTTACCAACACACCGACATAAGGCTCTAAAGCTGTACATAATCCTGTAGACCTGTTATTAATGGGACCACTTTGCCCACTGATATTAACTATCCCCATTAAGATAAACTGTTCATTAGTAAATTAAAGGTTTAGCTATCTAAGGTGGCAATGCTGAGCTAATTATTAAAGTGAATGTTCACATTAAATCTGTTACCTCAGACTCACATCACATAACTTGTAGATAGTAAAAATCTTATTGCACTGTACTCACCATTTCACTTATAGGAAGCACTTTATGGCTTGTCTTTGGCATACCCAAATTGCCAGCATGGCTACTTTTGTCCTGTGGGGCCATTATTAACTAAAATAGGGATTACTTGCTAAAAAAAATAAATAAAGCACTGAATTAGTCTGGTAACCATGAGCAATGGCTGTACGGTGTAGTCTGGATATGCTGGACAAAAGGATGATCCACATTCCAGACGCACTACTCAGAATGGCATGCAATTAAAAATTATGATTTATGGAATTTGACATTTAATATTTTGACTGTGACTGCCTCAGATAACTAAACCATGGAAACCCATGGACTGATGTACTATATTCAATAAAAGTTGAGTGGTCACATTAATTTACAGATATGTGTTAAAAAGCTATTCACTCAGCTTTTCCAGTTTTCACATTTTCATATATTGAAGTAGTATGGAAAAACTTAAAAGACCTATTTAAATTTCCCAGTAAAACTTCCCTTTAAAAATCTACCAAAACTTTAGCTTTTAGAAAAAAACAAAACACTTTAGCTTTAGGATTTGTTATAATCAAAACAAAGATATGGTTGAAAAGATAACCTAATGGTTTTCTCTTATAAGTTCTGAAAGCCCAGAATTTATATACTCAAGTCAGACCATACTATCAGCCCAATGAAAGCATATCCTTAAACTGCACACTGCCCTGTAATTTTCCCTTCAGTAACTGTTTCTCACACAAAAATAACTTAAACCCCCAGAATCATAAAGATGAAGCTTACAGCTCTCTGCCCTCACTTTGCAGATGCAGTATCGCATATCTTGCCTCTGCCCCTTCCCAAAACAAATCAAAACCTGCTGAGACCAGGAGAGTGATGGAACTAGAGAATGGGCAACATATAAAATTATTGAAAAGTAAATACAAGTAGTCATTAGACATCAACCACCTGGAGAAAAGAAAACCAGTCTTGCTTTTAAACAATTTTATTTGTTCTAATTTTTGTTACTTTAATTTCCCATAGCACCTTGGCAATGTTGAAAACAAAAATACAAATATAGGATGTACTCATTTTAACATAATAAGCATGAGCATGTGTCACATCATTTTTTTAGGGGGTGGGAGGGACAGTTTTGACAACAGGAACAAACTTAAGCAATGGACAAAACAGAAAGCAGATAACTGGTTCTGACCCACAAGCCAAACCGAACATTAGGAGATACCACTCAAGGGACACCTGAATCAGAAGAAAAAAAGGTAATGTGGATGTTTCTTTATACTATTTGCTGATCAGTGTTTTGTGCTATAAAACTGAAAGTGAAACCATTTTCTTCTGTTGGTATCTGAGTTGTAGTTTTAAGAACCATCTACTCAGCAACTTTTAGGAAGTTCTCAACAAAAAACAAACAAACAAACAAAAAAACCCACACAACTTTATTTAATAATCAGGTGAATTTTGAAAGAGAATTTACTCTCAACCTGAAATTAAATTTTCTTTCAACTTCTTAAAATATCTTCATTCAGCTAATGAAAACTGAAATATCTATGTAACTTCCTGAAAGCTCAGACAAGCTTAAATTAGCATATACCAAAAAAGCCTAAAGTTAAAATTTTATAGCCACCAAATTGTAAGGAAATATATAAAATTAGGAGGGAAAAACCACCATCACATGATTATGAATTTTTAAAAAAATCCTTCAAAAGGAATATACTGTCCTCTCTTATATTTTATCTTTTCTATAAAATACAAAATGGATTCTTTTAAAATATGGTTAACATATATGCCCAACACAAATATCAGAGCCTTAATCCTGGTGTTTTCAACTGGATCAAAGTAAAAACAGTGGACATTTACGCCAGTATTAAGGCCATAACTAAGAAAACTAGAGAATTATTAACTTTTAAATACTATTTTCTGTTCAAGAGATGCTAATACTTCATCACTAAGCCTTTTTGCAAAACAAATATTTAAAAAGAGGAATGTGAAACAATATCCAAGCTACCTTAATTTTAGGAACCAAAAATAAATTTAAAATCTGCATGTCAGTTGATCAACATGCAAATTGAGCACATATGATGACAATAAAGGATAACAACTGATTTATCTTCTTCCAAAATCCAGTTGAAAAAAATGTAGACAGATAACTCTTGAATTGCAATGTCTATACTTGCAAAAATGAAGTTACTCAGATTAGAGACAGGCCCTGGATATCACGAAAACCTTCATCAGGATAGAAAATGGAGATAGGTTTTTGCAATATCTCTATATACCCTCTCAATGAAGTGCAAGGTGGTGACTCTTGCTCTCTTCATGCAGTAAGAACTATGACAGATGATCACTGTACCATACACGCAATATCATTTGTATCTACTTTTAGTTTCCAACAGCCAAGCAAGTGTTAAGCCGTAAGGATGAAGGAAGAAAA